TCCAGATTTCCAACTCATCTTTACTTAACATAGCGATTATAATAGATCTTTTGTGCAACCAATCTAAACTTAAAGTATGACTTTATCATTAAATCACCGCCACAAATCGATTATCGGCAATTTCAGGAAATTAAAAAAAGGGAAATTGAATATAATAGTTTTTGCTTAAACAAATCTTACAATATAAGCGACTCAGATTATATTGCAACGAACCAGTCAAAATAGTTAAATTAAGTAGCTTTTCTTTCCTCCATATCGTTCTTAATTCCATTAATTAATCACAATAGAGGAAAATCTTTATGCATGTCAATACGGAAATTGCAACCATTTAAGCATTTGCCCATTGTACATACCATCATTTATTAAACTAAGGTTATTATCAGTATTGAAGAAGAGTTTCAAGAATTGATTGAATTCACCTTTTTTTGGAAAGAATTCAAATGAAGTCATTCGAGTTTTAAGAGCTCCGTAAGATGCAGTTTCTATTCATACTTTGACAGCACTATGTGTTTGTAAAATCAAGCTAAAATCAATCAGGTTCTACATTAAATATGTTTGTATAAATCACAGACTCTAAATTATACAATAGTCAAGACATCAACAAATCCAACATGCAATTCTTGGAAAATATGAAACCTAACTGTTATTTTATACGACCCAAAACCAAAAAGAAATGAAAAATAAATATTAACGATTTCAATACTTAGTCATTATCAATTTTACATTTTCTGATCGAAGAATATCCAATTTTCTTCAAAATTTTTACGAATACGTATCTCTGTATTTTCACTTTCGACCTCATCTTCATTAACAGACAAAGCTGTGGTTTCAAATGACTCAGTGAGTGATTCTAGATAATAAGCTCCTTCCGTTTCTTCATCTATTGGTTGCTCGAAGTAAATATCATCTAATAAAAAAAATTATTTTTTCAATGATACATAAACAGACTTCAGATTTTAGCAGAACTGACTGGAAGAAAATTAATGAAGATGAAAGTGCAAACCAAAAAGTGATCAGTTAAAGAATACATCAACACATAACATACATATGCTTTTATAACAGATTAAGAAAACTGTAAGTGTGTAGGTTGAGTTAGAAGCAAAATACCAAAAAAAATGGTCATTGTCTTTACTTAGGATCTTCGTACAACATCCAAACTTCTTTAAAATCCTTACGAGTTTTAGCTTAACTATGCATCAAACTAATACTAATAACTCTCTTGCTGTCATGATTTAGTACACCTGCGTCATTAAAGTCGCCTCCAAATCTACTACCACCTACAATTCAATTTACAATTAGTAGATACTTATTTAGTCCTGGAGACAACTTATCAACCTAGCAACGACTTATGGAGTGAAAATATTATATTTTGTTCCAATATATGAAATTTCAAATTTCTAAGATAAAAAATTTTGCTGGAATATTAGGCATTCGTGAGCTTTTTCAATTGAAACTATAAAACTGAAGAATAATATGCATATACCAATACAATACAATACATAATACATATTACCTACAATCTACAAGACTTTTTTTAGGCTTAATAACACCAGAAAAAACAAGAACACGAGAGTCTGAACTCAACATCTATCGTCATTAATAATCTTCAGCCGACTTCTTATAAAGCACAGAATCCTTCGTTTGACTAAAGACTGCAATGATATTCAAATTACCGTTTGCGATGACATCAATAACATACATATAATATCATAATTGTGTACAACTTTTTTTTAAAAGTGCATTGTAGTAAATTATAGTAAAAATTTCACTTAAAAATTTAATAAATGAATGGAATATTTACAACTGAGAAGAATATGATAATGTGATTCGAAAAAAGTGGAAAAACTTTTTGGAAAATCCTTACAAGTCCAACCGTAAGCACAATTAGTCTAAAACCAATTACTCTATTTACTACCATATATAAAATATCTCAACAATTTTTACATTAGATTTTCTTCGTAGATCCATGTTTCTTCAAAGTTTCTCCGTACTGTCGGTGCAATAGTTGGAGGTGCGGTCGCTGTACCAGGCATTGGACCATTTATACCTACAACTCTATTTGCAAGAAGAGCAATAGGACTGTCATATGCTATCAGTGGTCGCTGTTCTAATGGTTTAAAAAAAAGTCTTTTATGCAGATTAAAATTCGTAACTAAAGGAGATTTTAAGTTCATAAATTAACAAATAATATATATAACCTATATAGTTCACACAAAAACAAATAACTGCATATTCTTCATGATTAATGTTTTTTTGAAAATTCTAATATTAGTCCCCGGCTTTTTTAATTATTTGCTAATGTTGAAATAAGAATTTATATTTCTTCGAAATGCTTCAGTACTCGTGTGTGTGTTAATTTGTTCGTCCGAAAGGACCTGTCTTTAACCAAATCTAAGAAATCTGGGTAAAACAACAAATTTACAACAAATCTACAATAAATAATGCATATATGCAAGGTTAATTATATGTCTATTAACAGATGAAACGAGTGTGAAGAGGAAGGGGGAGGTAGGGAAAAGTTCTCTAAAAATACATTTTAGCAGTGCAAACGTATATTCATTCAATATATCTTAAATATATTTTTTTAATTTCTATTTTTCGCATACTCAGTACGGTTGATATTTTCAAATATCCATGTTTCTGAGAAATCTTTGCGTATATTTATTAAATTTGGCTCAAAATAGGGTGGCGAATCCGCTATTCTTATATCAATTTCATCTAAATCAGCCTTACGAAGATCGCCACCGATACGAGTTCTAAACCCTCTCGAAAAATATTTTAAACGTTTGGCTAAAAAAATAAATGAAATTACAAAAAAATTAAAAATATACAAAAATAAATGTTTGTTGGTGTGAATGAACAGAAGTTTCGGGATCTTATGGAATATAAAGGTAATATAATACAGTAGTATAGTAACATCATTATATTGGTGAAACAATCGAACTAACATTATTAAGATATTGCAGATGTAATATCTTAAAAATCGCAGACCTACACAGTTGTAGAATTGCCAATTTATTTCTAACAATTGAAAAATTTTTGAATACAAATAATAACTCATCGCAAAAGACTGACTCACTTAGATTCATTCATTTATAGATCCAAGCTTTATTTAAATAAAGTTCCTAATAATTTTTATGTATATCATTTCAAAATAGTGAAAAGTATATATCGAAGTTGTATAACGAATTCAACTAATTAAGACATTAGTAAGTAAATTTATTTTTGAGCTAACTTAATTGAGTCGTATTAAATACTCGGAAATTTGAATGTATTAGTAGTGGATTCTTATATTCTAAAGAACTCACAAACTTAATAAAACTATTAGAAGTAGTACCTTTTAATTGGGAACGTTTGCAGAAAAAGTTATATTAATAATGATAGTATAAAGGAAACGTTTGTGTAGACGTTCTATCGTTTATAAAATCGAAACCTTTAACTGTATATTTTCTTATTAATTTGATTTGACAAAAATATAAAATAAGATACGGTTGTATAAATAAAAACTAATTAAAGATATTAAGTAGTTTTTCCCTTTTAACAATTTTATTAGAATCAGCATAGCAACGAGGTCCCGATATTTTTTTATATCAACAAATAAAATAAACAGTATAGACAAACATTCCCGAGAAATTATCCTGACTTACTTACTTCATAAACGTCATAGGGATTTGACAATAACAGCGCCATCTGTGTGTCAGTCACATGACTTATTAAGTGATGTGTTATCTATTAAATAACCCTGGGTATTTTTATTCATATTTTCTTGTATTTTACGTGTATTTAGTTTAATATTCTTAACAGCCAATTGTGTATTTAGTAATTACTTTTTATTAGTGCTGACATGCAAAAAAACTGTTTTAAATAATACTTATTAAGTACAATACATTTATACAAATACTAACTAACGACAGCAAAGTAAGATTCTGTACAGAGCAGTGCTCGATAAAATAGTTTAGCACTCATAAAATAATTTGTGCTTTACTTAAATATTTCACCCACAGTCCAAAGGAAGAATTGTGCAGTTAGTGGTAGAGATATAGTGTATTGGATACGATTGTCTACGATTGTACACAATTTTTGTGATATCTTAGAGGACTAGCTCAACCACTCTATCCCAAAAAAAAAAAGAAAACTAACCGATTTTTCACATAGTGATGTTGAAGCCAAATCCATGTTTCCGAAAAATCTTTACGTATTTTTAAATTCGATTCTTCAACGTGGTCTGCGAAACTGGTTATGTCTGAATCATAACGATCTATGGATGATTCGGAGTCTACTTCATCCTTGTAATTTACAAAAACCATTCCTGAAACTTTCAATTGTACTAAGATACTATCAAATAAGTTTTATTTAAACAAAATTACAAATGTTTGCAAACACTACTTATGTCAGAATCGTGAACCACGTAATACTAATGTTTAAGCTCTTCTTTTAAAAAAGTTTAGGTTTTGTTATCTTTAAATCTGTTCTGTTCAGATACATTTTAAATTTTAATATGTTTTGTTTTTTTTTCTTTTTTTTTTGACATTAGTAAAATAGTCTAGCCTCAATCCGCATACATATATCCATCACCGTACTGCAGTAATACGTGTCAGTAAAAAATGCCGCTTATTTCATTCTAAGCTGCACAAGAATCACTTGACAAACCTATCAACACTATGCCAAATCCAAGTTTCAATAAAATCTTTTCGTATTCGCGTACTAGACACGGTAATATCCGCAGTTTCAATAGTGTGAGGTATTGCTTCTGGTATTCCAGCATAGTAGACGGGTTCATCATTCAAAAAACCATCTTCATAATAAAGTGTCTCTATGTGGAGTTCGAAATACAAAACGAGTAGCAAATCAATTCAATAATAAAATGTAAAAAATTTACATTTATAATATCTCGATAATTTCACAAAAGTTTTTTCTGCTCTTAATTTTTTTCTCTTTAATTTTATCTATTCGTAGTAATTTAGAAGATAGATGTAAAATCAAAAAAAAAAAATACTTACCATGATTGTAAGGATAATTAGCATTAGTCATTGTTACCAAACCGGTTTGCTGTCCAGGGTACCGTCCATAACCACGCATCCATGGTGTGCTTGTGTCGATGCCTTCTATTTTATTGAAAACATCATCCTTCTTTATGTCATTGCCAGATTTTAACAACAGCACACTTTGATCAACGCCTAATAATCCAACATATGAATCTGGATCCGTTTGTACATCAAGTTTCACATCGTCACCAGGCTTTACTTCAACTGGTGCAGAAATGGCAATCTAAAAATAGGTCAAACATTTTAGCTCTTAAAAAATAAGATTCGAGTTTTATACAGACACATTTATATATCAAATTTGAAATGTATTTTAAGCATTGACAATAACTTTATCGTTTCTTTTGAAACGGGCTCAGCTTAAGTTTAGTCTACAACTTATATTAATTTCGCAGTATAGATTTCTGTACCTCTAAATGTGTATCCCTCCGTTTGTAACTTGTATTTAACTTGCTATAACCAACACAATAAAGAAAATATTAGATACAATAATTATCAGTGTTTCTTATCGGTGTAGAATTATCTTCTATACTTCACATGCGTTGATACTAGGGTTGCATTAACCCTTCAACTAACATTTTCTAAGAAAAACTCTGTGCATCATAAGTTAAATTGTTCCAGTTTACCTTAAATTCGGTTGTGGCCACCTCTCTCAAAGTCTATTTATTTCAAATTTTACCTCAATTGCAGCTATGCACCATATGACGTCTTTCACAGTTCGATTTTTGGCTTAACCATACAAATCTATCTTAAGTATCACCCTCTGTTAATTTTCCTATCCTCTTCCATTTCCTACCATTCTCCTACTAACAATGTGGATTTCAACCATTCCTTTTACAAAGTCTAAGAGAAGTGTCGGAGTTTTTGCTATGTAGTAGAGATGATTTAATTCTTAGGGTCTGGAACTGACTTTCGATATACAAACATAGTAACCTGTCTAATATATTTTTTTAAAAACCGCCAAAAGAAATTAATTTATATAATAAAATTTTTAAATTCTTAAATAAATACATCCAACTGATTGGGAAATATAAGTTAAGACTTCAATATTTGTAAAAATATATATTTTTAAGACTGCATTTTTTTTTTTAATAATATTTTTCAAGCAATAGATAAATATTACTTTATCTATCTATTAAAAATAAGTCTCTATAAAGACAAATATTGTCATACAGTTCCTTCATATTAACTGACGGAACTGTAAGTAGATTATCTTTTTTCATTCTTGTTCCATAATCACATAGTTTATATAGTTCCTCTTATAAAGGGTGGAGAACTCAATCTTACATGAGAATATTGTTTTAATGTTAATATATATTATTATTATAATTTTAATTGAAAATCTTAAAAAAACTTACTGAATTTTCAAAGCCTTTCTCCATATTAACAGTATGTTCTTCAAATTGCAGATCGTTTTCAAAGACATAATGTATTAAGATCTTGAATTTGGGCATCATTTCAAATGTAGGCACAATTGTGAATTTATGTGACTTAGAAGCTTCAGGAACTTCTACGTGTTCACTTTTCAAAATGTTACCACGTCCTACAATCGTGTACACAAAATAAGGAATTCTTTCTTTCGACAACACTTCTACCGTGACATTATCTTTCAAATGAGGCCTAAATAAAAAAAATAAATAAATGAAACTTGAAGGGAAATTATTTTGCTTACTTTTCTGGTGTTACGGTAATTTTTAGTTTTTCGACTTGCTCTACCGGTGCACTATATTGCGATAGAGAAGATAAGTAAGCGTTTGAGTCAAGGTATTTTGCTCTCACTGAGTAATAACTAACAGCGTTGGTGGGAAGTGTAAATTCAAATGTAGCCATGCCATTTTTATCTAATTTAGACTCAAATTCCATTGTTGGAGGTTCTGGTACAGGCGAAACAAGACTCATATCGGTTGGTATCCAAGTACGATGGAAATAACCCCTTGGTGAATCAACTAATAACTTAGCACTATTTTTGGTATCTTGCACTGGTGTACCATCTAAATTTTTAACGACTATAGTAAAAACAACTGGTTTTCCGGGATGGAAACTATAAGGCGTATTAACACCTTCAATACGATAAGTTTCTATATGCAAATTTACAGTAGTTGAAGTATTCTGTTTATTTCCAGTCAAAGCCTCTTCCATAACAACGAGAATATTTAATGGTGGTACATAAGAGCGATCAGCTGATAAACGCAAATCTTTCGTTAAATCAAATTCAACATGTCCTTTACCATCGACATCAATGGTCTTCTCAGCAACCAAATTATCATTGAAGCTTCCATAATAATGGTATGAGGGGCTTACAGAAATAACGGCCTTACCCTTAACGGGTTTTCCGTAAGTATATTTTGAGCGCACAGTTGCCTTAATGACATTAGATGGTATGGCAACATCTTTAGCTGTATCAATAGTCACGTCGAATTTTGGTAGCACATATTTGGCTACCTCGAACACTTTCTGCTCAGCTTTTTCGCCGTTATTGTAAACTGAAATTGTCCAGTCACCAAGTACAGTCTCGGCTGATAACGGGAAGCTATCAGTGTAGACTCCTTTCGTGAATTTAACATTTTTTATTTGTTTTAAAATATTCTTTAATGCGTCCTGCGGAAGCATGAAAAAAATTTAAATTATCATTATAATGCAATTCTGTAAGTTTAACTGAGAAAACAATACTTACACTTATCTCTATATTGACTGGCGTGTTAATTTTAGCTGGACGCGTGTTTTCATCCAGGAATATAACACGAAACTGTACAAGATCTCCAGGTTTGTAAGTGGCTTTATCGGTTTGTATGAATATTGATGGTTTGCTATCTGCTACATTCAGTGAAGTGCTATTCTCGAATGTGATTCCAGACAAACCAACTGATGTTAAGTTGTATTCGCCACTACTTAAGTTTGGCACATCAAAGTCCACTGTCTTAGTAGACATAGGATCGACTTGTACGATTTTACTTTCATTATAAGATGGACCAGTGATGCCAACCTGAATTTTTGCCGGGCCTTCGGCTTTATGTAGAGAAATAGCCACGCTGTATTTGAAATTGGAATGTATGGTACCAGGACCCACTACAGAGTAAATTCTAAAAGTTAAAAAATTAAAAATATTTTAGAAAAATAATGAAAAGTGACTTTCTATCAATAATTAAAAAAATGTTTATTTTTTTTATTTAAAACTACAATCTTTAATCAAATTAATTAAAAATAATAAATAAATAATGTACTAAGTAATTGTCAAGCGGTAATTTTAGTCAAAGTCAGCTTTCCTAGGTCTTATCTATCAAGTGCAAGCAGTGTCATAGTAGTTTCTATATTTGCTTAAACGCAAGAATTTTTAAAAAATTATTTAAAATATAATGAAATTAAATCTATATAGAATACATAAACTATGTATGACCTGAAGTATATTAAGTTAAATTTCTTTTAATGTATATGTATGTATGTAGACACATGGTTCGAATTTATAATGCAATTAAATTTTATTTGATAACCTTCGGCAGTGAAGCGTATTATCAAAGATTGATTTGTTGCTTTCTCTAGGTATTTTTAGTACAAGAAGAAAAAAAAATATTTTATTTCCTTAATCGCCTCAAGCTATCAGTCATATGTATTTATAAAAATATCTATAAAGATGGACCAGTGTAAATGGAAAGAAAAGAAAATAAATGACAAAATTAAAAATTTGAGCTTCTGAGCTAATAAGTGCTGCTAAAAAGCATGTATGTTACTATAAAACCTGCAACTTTTGCTGTGAGCATACACATTTAAAGCTCTCTTGAACAGATATCGACAGAACTAGTACTACTGTCCACTTAAACGAGCTGCCCCTTTAAAAAAACGCACTTTGTGTGAAAACTCTAAGGTCTATTGACATTACACGATTAGAATGATTATAAATTAACAATATTTTCACCACATATTTACACGATGTGTATATATTGTGTGAATCTGATCCAATCAACTATTTAGACCTATATTTTTTCAGAGTTTTTGACTCTTTGGTATTTCTGTTTCATTAATTAAAAAAATTTTGTGCGTATTTCCAAATCAAAGTGATTTATTAAATTTTCTAGTATTTTAAATATAGCCACAAATTTCTGTTTCTGTCTTTTAAAAATAATAATTACAACTGATATATGTGAATTGCTTACTGTAAGCAAATTGATTGACAGCTGACTAATTACCACAGCGTTGTAATTAATAACAATGTTATCATCTCCAAAAGTTGAATTTATTTTAACCAATTTTACGTATACGTACGTATACGTATATATCCATTATACCCAACTCACGATATAGCAACCGATATAGTTGGCTACAGGATCAAGAATTATCAAAACTGTTGTCGACATTTTAGTAGGATGGGCTACTGCAGTCAATAATAGCTGTGTTTCAACTAATGATGATCTGACAATGATGATGAACTGAACGAACTATTCATCTAGTTCACATTTACATAGTTTAATGAGGAATATGTGTTTAAAATAAGAATGAAAAATACATAATGAATGAAAAATATCATTGCCAAGAAATCAATCCAATCAAGAGAAATAAAATTAAGATAAAGTTAATATAAAATTCAGATTTGCGGTGTGAACAGATCAGGTTTTTAGTGTAAATGTAGTATTACTAAATTACCATAATTCATCAGAATACATCAAATGTATATTATGTTGATATTAGTTTGAATCTTTTTTGTTTTCTTCTTCGAATATCAGATAAAAACTTTGTATTAACTTGTGCTCATAACGGAAGATACAATTCTACAAGGTTCATATTCATTTTGATGGACTTTCTAATAGTTCTGTAATCAGAGTAAGATAGAATCCCATTTGTTTGGTATATGGCATATGGCATTTAATATTAGATAGACAAGATTTTAGCTGATGCATTGTGTCTATATAGTCGCGATTATGAACTGTAAGCACGTAACCCGGTCACTGAGAGCGACTGCTTATCAAGCTCAAGGGCATGAAACCACAACAAACTTTGTTTACAATTCAATTTAAATTAAATCGAATGAAATATTCGCCTGTACGAGTTTGTGTGAAAAATAAATTTAAGTAAATAATTTTTCATAATTGACTATGAGTATAACTAAAATTTACAATTTACTGATTTGGCTGAATTTGCCGGCACCCATAAACAATTGCCTAGAGTCATCATTCTTCAAAAGCAAACTATTATCTCGCATTGTATGTACTCAATACAATGAATATTCTATGCTAATGATGATGATGATGATCGTATTGGCCGTAATGATGAACAACTTGACGGGGAATTCCCACAACAAACAATCATCTATAAGTTATAAGTTATAGCTAATTTGCAAATCGTGTTTCTTTGTAATAAACCACATACATTATTAATATATTTTTTAATTTTTTTTATTTTTGTTTTTCATTTGTTGTATATCAGTAGAACTAATTGTTTAAATAAATCTTAATAAATGTTAATTTAATGTTTCTTATCTTTTGTTTGTTTTTAGAACAACTTTTTATAATGAATTTTTCCAATTTTTTATGTTTCTAGGAGAAAACATTTTTGTTTTGTTTCTTAGAATAAATAGTTTAATTCATTTTTATCTATAATTACAACGTATAATTAAAATCTATGAAAAAAATTACAATGATTAATAATCAGGGTTTATGGCGCCCATTAACGACGTTCTGTAAGTACTTGAAACTGTCAAAATTTAAAAAGCAATAATTTGTCAAAATCAATCATTAGTACTTCATTTAAAATATTAATTCAAAATAATTTTACGTAAAATTGAATTGAATAAAAAATTTATTTTTATTACATCAACTTTGTCTTATTTTTGTTATAATACGACATACAGATAATCGGTCTGTATGTAAACAAATGTAACCATGTAGTTACTATATGATGTATAGTGATGTATAGCAAATTCTATATAAAACGGAGTTCGATTCCTGGTACTTGCAGTCTCAAAAAAACAAAAAAAAATTATTCAAGAATAATTAAATACCATAATTATTTCCAAGACCTCTGATTATGGGTGTTTGGCAATACTCTTAACAGCTGTATGGTCAGCCAAAAATTCAATTAATTAATATAATATACCTAAAATGAATTTTTGTTGTTGTAGTTCACTACTGTTGGAAGAACCTCTTTATAAAATAGATTTCCTAATAGTTGCAGCGTAGTGTTATAGTTTGCCAGAAACGTCAAACTGAATACCCATTCGTGCTTAACTGTCAGTGTAGATCCATTTAAAGGAGTTGAAATTAGCACAATTCTGAATCACTGCTCTTAGGGCTGTAAACTTAATACCAAGTGGGAATTGGGTGTTTAAATCAACCTCAATCTATTCGAAACCTGTTCAATAGGCCAGTGATAAACGAAAGAAGTTCAAATCGTTCTCTTTTGGGCTCTATAGATTTGCTGCAATGCTAGTTCAATTCTTTTACATTTTCTTAAAAATAAGATTCTTCAAGTTTCTGAAAAGTCTTGCATTCATTAGATGCAGAGACTACGCTTGAATTTGCTTAAAATATCTTTCCAGAAAGTCGTGTTTTTTCGTAAATTTGGAAAAAACAGGAACAGCGTTCAAACTAGTAAAGTTGGTGGAGTGGTGGAGAAGCACCTTACAATGTAATTTGACTAGTTTTGAACTATTAAAAAAAATAATTTATATAATACTGACTTGCAAATACTAGCACCGACGCATTTATATGTACTCTAAAAATAAAACACGGCGAATGTCTAGTTTAGTTTTGAAAGGGAATAATTTAAATGAGATGAAATAGTTAAACATGATACCACTCTATCTGGTAAAACAATAATGTCGAAGGCATGGTTTCCTATATCTTCTTCATGCACTCATTTAGTGGATAATAATTTAGTCGATTAATGTTTAATGGATGGTAACTGCCAGTCGGAGCAGTTGATAACTGTAGCTGTCTAGCTCTTCTTTTCACCCGACTTGACCTTTCTGTCCGTTTAGTTAGAACAAACAGTACTTGATTTTTATTTGCATTTTTAATGTATCGTGATTCAAGAGTCCACTTAGGTTTTTCTCTTTCTATCTTTTATCCACATATCTTTTACCATCTCCAGCTTCCAAAAAACTCATTTAAGTTGCATATCAACTATAAAGGAAAGCCATGTTAAGTATCTTAACATAAATAAAAGTTGCAGCTTCTCGCTTATGGAGAGCTTTCACTGTATGGTTTATTTTAGTCTAAGAACATAAAATTATTTTGGTAAAGCAAAAAAAGTTTAAATGATTAAAAAAAATCGAAAAGCATCGAAAAGCATCGAAAAATTTAAAAATGTATTTTTATCTCGAACAAAGCATCTTTATCATAATTGATGCTTCCAGATGGCGCATATTTAATTAAATTAAAACAAATTTTGTTTCAAAATTAAAATAAAAATTTAAATTTTTCATTTATTCCAGCCTGTGTGAACATAAATATTTATTTACATATTTAGAAAGCAAATAAAATATTTTATCTTAGTAACGTTTTTTGTCAGCTCACACGAATTAAAAAACCTAAATTATGCAGAGCATAAAAGTCAGTTTTTTTTAGAATAAATTATTGTAATTAATTTTAAAACACGTACAATTTCCTCGCACACATAATATACATATATATGCATAAGCTTCATTTCTGATCTATATCTTTTACTTATAATTTTTAAATTAAACAATATATAGCAGTTAAATTTAGCCACTTCGAAGTCGTGGTCGAAGTCGAAAGAGTTTATTTCTAGGAATTTTGTTGGTCATAAATTTGATCTGACAGATACAAAGTTTACATGAAGAGGCTGTAGATACTTGCGACTGGTGCAGTTTCAGAATTCTGCGACTCACTGGCTTTGCAAGCAAGTTTATTTCACACTTTAATGTTAATCATTGCTTTACTTGAAAAAAGTAAAAACTTAAAAACATCATTAAATGCTAATAGCAAAAAAAAATAGTATATAAATAATTAAAAAAAACTTTCAGAGACTTAAACAAAGTACTGAAGTGCAAATACACAACATTTCAAACAAAACAGATATAAATAAATGTAAATATACGAAGAGACAAGTTATCTTTGTCTACAAAAGA